GAGACAGATCCTGAGCAAGTAAAGGCTGAGTGAACACAGCCTAGCCATCGAGACCGGCAGACACAGCAAGAGCTGGTTACCCCGAGAGCAAAGGGTGTGTGTGTGTGTGTGTGTGTGTGTGTGTGTGTGTGTGTGTGTGTGTGTGTGTGTGTGTGTGTGTGTGTGTGTGTGTGTGTGTGTGTGTGTGTGTGTGTGTGTGTGTGTGTGTGTGTGTGTGTGTGTGTGTGTGTGTGTGCAGACACAGAAAGAGCTGGTTACCCCGAGAGCAAAGGGTGTGTGTTCACTGTAGGACAGGAGAGATCGAGACAGAGACGCACTTCCTCCTTCACTGTCTCAAATACAGTTCAATCAGAGACCTCTAACAAATTCACAAACTTAATAAAAGAACTTTACAGCCATGACTGAAGAATAAAGCAATTTTTTTTTTTTTTTACTTTTAATTGAGAGAGAGAGAGAGAGAGAGAGAGAGATGATTATAATTTGAACAGGATTTCATTTTCTGAATGATGCATTTCACCTTTAGACTCAAGTTACTCTCAGCCCCAAATTGTGTTCATAAATCAGCCTCAATATCATATACATGCTCTAAAATCTTTAAATCCATTTAAACAGATTTAATGAAACAAAGAAATGCACGTTTGTTTGATGGTGTCATTTGTAGTCACATACAACAACAATGGTAATATATTCAAACCCTGAAAGCAATTTTAGCTGAAGGAAAAGAAAACAAGAAAAAGTGGATTTTGTAAAATGATTATCTTTTGAGCAAAACAAAGCTGCACGAATGCTTTGCCTCTTTCATTTGAACACACAGCTTGAATGCATCTCTGTTTGATGCGACTTGTTCACGACTTGTTGTTCATGACTGGTTCTCTGTTTGATGCGACTTGTTTAGACGGCTTTGGCCAGCCTCAATATAAACATGAAAGGCTCGCTTTCTAAATGACATATATTTGAGGTTGGAATAATGACTGTAGATGTAATATGAATCTAAGAGTGCTGGAAAAAAAAAGCCCCAAATGCACCAAAATAAAATGCCTATAAGAGATTATGTAGGATGACAATGTGTAATTTGTGGGATGAAACTGTAAAATGCATATTCTAATTGCGACCCATGAGTCCATATACTGAATAAAGAACAAACCAAGCAAATACCAACAAAACAGCAATACAAAATTGATTTAAGAAAAACAATAAAATAAAATATTTGTAACAACTGTGAAGATATAAATGCACTTTAGCATAATTAGTCAGTTATATGAGTGCATGGATTTGATTTCAAACTACTTTAAACATTTTCATCAGCCATTATACTGTAACAGTTCATTTTTTATTAAGTTCATTTTTATAACCAGTAAAAACAGGATTCCTTTGCATTTTATCTGGTAAAATAAAGCCTATCTTCTGCAATTCAAAGCAAAGGAATAAACAAATAAATATGCACTTTATATTCCCAAAGGCAGCCTAAAAGCAGAACTAAGTGTTAAAATGAGGTTTAAATGCAGCTACTGGCAAAATACCATAACCTGTAAAAACAGTTACCATTATGTCAATGCTAAAAGAAAGTACTATACAACAAAAAAGCCAGAGGTCTCGATCATTTGAGCCATTTACATTAATTGTTCATTCTGATTGGAGCACAACACAGCGGAAATAAACAAACAAACAGTTTTTGTGCTCAAACCTTGCAGGATTTGAAGACATTCACAATCACAGCACATGTTGCATTATCTGCAATCTCAGAAAAGAATCACTCAACACTTTCACAATAGATGTACTGCACCTGGCAACCGTTTTGAACATCATTATCTGAAAATAACGTACTCTTGGGTTAAGGAGAAAGCAGAAAAAATACTTTTGTTTTACTCGCCTCCAGGCATGTTTAAAATAACCCATTCTTCGATCAATAATTCCAATTACAAAGTTGTTCTTTGTTTTTTTCTGTTTCCCTGGAATTCATACCTACAGTTTTCTCTCTTTTAAATATTTTGTACATTAAGAAAAAAATATCTAAGTGTATCTTTATCATATTAAATAGCTTTTAAACATGCAATGTATGGATCTTTAAATACTTAACTCGTTGTACACATCTTGATCTTAATGATAACTCTTTTCAAAATGTGTGGCATTAAACATCTGTGACAGTTTAAAACACATCAACACTCCTCACAAACATCACAGTCTGGTAGGCAATATAACCAAGAATTTGTATAATCTACACAATGACAGCTGAAAATGCATTGGTTAAATGTAGTTTGTTCATAAGCCACATTAATATGCTTCTTCAGGAACACCGTATTCTTGGGTAAACCATCTGTGCCTTCCCAAACTTCAGTTCAGCTGTTCAAGGAATACCTAATAACTAAGGCAATCTCATGCATGCAAATCTGTTGCCAAAATCATACTTCTAAAACCATTTCATTACATCACATATAGCCTGATTGAGAATGGCAATATAGCAGATTTATTATAAGGGACACTATGTGATATCGTGAAAGTGACAAAAATGTCACTGCATATTTTACTTGGGGGCGGCCTTTTACCTGAACTGCCTTTCAAAATGGCATATTGCAGCCCTGAGGTGGTTGAATTTATGATTTATGATTAAGGTGTGTTTGGCCGGTGTGTGCAAAGACATTTTTGAGGATCCACTAAACATTGTGTGAGACTGACACTGAGTTTCTTTCTTAATTAAACACTGACCCCTGCAGGTGTGATCTGATCTGACTTTCACAAAGCATAATAGTACAGTGATGTTTTAAAAAGTAAAAATAATTCTATATGGACCACACACACACACACACACACAGTCACACACAGTCACACACACACACACACACACACACACACACACACACACACACACACACACACACACACACACACACACACACACACACACACACACACACACACACACACACACACACACACACACACACACACACACACACACACCAGTAATTAATAGAGATGGTGATTTTAAACTTTATGCAAGCTTCATGAAGCAATGATTGACAGCATTAATAAACTCTGGCTTTAATCTTATCATTTTAGACTTAAGGTCATCAATCTAATTCGATTATACCGTAATAATAATAAAAATAAAAAATAAACATGCCCAATTCTAAATATTCTCTTTCAGGCTGCATATCAGAAATAATAATAATAATAAAAAACATGTAAATGTAAAACATGTAATAGTTCACATCAAAAGGAATAATGAAAGGCCAGGAAAAATATCATAGATGATTCATTTAAAATTTCGCCGTCTATTTCATCTTTATGTAAAAAAAAAAAAAAGAGAAGCGTTCATCATACTAAAATTAGCTTTCACTATATCTGATTTCAGGAGCATCTCATCTCTTGACTGATAGCAAAACAAGGTGTTTTCTTAATCATAATTCTGAAATCTATCATTGAATCTGGTATTAATATGGAAGATTAAGCAAAGCACAAATAATCATCTGGACATATTCATCGAAAAGGCAATCAAAACGACTTTGGTAATCATATGGGAGCAGTTCAAACTGTCAAGCAGAATCGTGTATAAAAATAGAAAGTATATGTCTGGTAATCTCATTCAAGTCACTCAGCTGGACTGTCAAGGCCCTGCATTTTACAATGTGTTTTATGTAAAGAATTTCCTATTGTATTGTGCGACACACAAAACCATTTAATAAACAGTTGCTAAAAAGATTTTGCATTCCCACAGTATTATGACCAATATCTGTTACCACTATAACTCCAAACTGAATCCAATGTAAACACACTTTCATAATTCAGAACATGAACACACACTCACAACTTGATCAACATGCTTGAGTCCTACTCTGAAATTAATAAGAATGCTGGAAAGAATTGAATTGACTTGCCTATAACAACATCCTTAATGATCATCATATGAAAGTTGATAATATTCAAAATACATAAATTCTTGTTATATTGTTATGAGACAACTGCATATTATCACGGTTTCCCGTTTTTTAAGGAACAAAATAACTACATAAACGTCAAGAAAGACTTAATTGAAATGTAACAGCAGTGGTATAAGGAACTGGAACTAACCTGCAGTTCTAATCCAGGTCTTTCCGTTCTCTAATCCTGAGCCAGTCATTCATTGGTCAGTTAAATCCGGAAGTACACACTGTGACTGATCCACCATCCAAAAACATCCGATTTAAAACTCGAGCTTGACAACAATTAAGATAAAAACTTTATAAAATTACAAAAACAGCAGCATTAATGATGTTCGTTACAATTGTAACATAACTTCGAATATTCCTCTTAAAACGAATTCGTGTGTTGGTGATATGAACTAACAACCCTACAGTGAACGTGAAAGAATCGCTCTTTTGAGTCGGATCTTTCAACAGGTGAACTGCTTCACAAAGGCAGTGTAAACGATTCATTCACGACAGATCACGGAGGGTTATTGTATATTTGGGGCGAAAAGTAGGCCTAAGTTAATAGCCGAGAAGAAGAAATGTTACAAATCAAAAGTAGAGGAAATATGTTTACGACTGCAACAAACAAAACTGTGATGCATTCAATTACAATAAAAACACTGTCTACAAATGGCCTATTAGAAATTTTTTGATTAAAATCAGACTGGGATGACAGGAACCGTGTGATGACGCAATTACGTATTGACGTAAAACTGGAAAACGAACTGTTTGAAAGAACCGATTCCGGAAAATGAATCGGACTTCCTTTCGACCAAAAATATAAATAAAACTCTGTACGTCATACATTTTTGTAATCTCATTCATTTTTAACTCTCCTATAATTAGTCAACTGCATTCATTTTTATAAGCGCGACACAATAATGATTTACTAAATCGATCTGAAGTTCTTTGGTCGCGTGTGTTTTGTATGTTGCATGAACTTTCACCTCATGTCCCACAACCGCGCAGGATCGTGTTTTGACAGGACACACAGTGACAACACCAACACGGATCTTTTAACTTTGAGTATGCACTGCTTTTCGACTTTTTAGTCATTTACTCCTCAAAGAATTTCGCAGTTTTGTTGCACACATGGAAAGTTTCATTAGCTTCACTAACCAAAGTCAAGGAAGGGACCGCATATTCAGGTCAGTGCCTCTTATCGAAGCTTGTCATCCCTCAAAACAACATTTAACTGAAATGATTTCCTATAAAAGATGAGCTAGACTATGTCTGAACATTTGATTTGTTCGTTTGCTTTAGAGCAACCCAATATGCATGCGCGTTGGCGAAATACCTTCTGAGAAATGAAGCGAAGAGAAAAGAGCTGGTGAAAAAGCTGCAGTTTCTGGAGTCTAATATGAGTTCGGGGCGGAAGCGTAAGAACATTTACTGTTACATAACACAAAATATTCACACACAACACAAAAGTTATTTTATTTCTTTCTCAGTAGTTACTAGTATGTATTCCAGCTTAACGTACTTTTTTATTAGTCACTAGTACATGAGACACTATTTATGCCAGTAACATTTCTTATCTCCAGTTTCTAGTAACCTAACTTTACAGTTTAATAACATTTCTTCTACTTAAAGTCACCCTAAAATCAAAATAAACTATTCTTATATTTTCATGGAATATTGCAGTATTCATTATAAATGATTTATCCGTACACATTTTTATTTTAAATTCATGTGGCATTGTAATCTTTAATCAAAATTACATCCCTCTCCCATTGAAACCTCTTCTCTTCTCTGATGATGTGTTTACTGGCGCGAGGGCGGGGCAACCTGTCAATCACATGAGATCACAGCAATAGCAAACCAAAACCATCCAATCAATTCGCGATGGATAAAATCAAGTCCCGCCCTACATATTTTCTTGTTTGGGGTTACTGTAAAGAATGGATCGAAAATACTAACAAGAAATTTGATGATATACCTCAGATACAGTGCTTACCAGCTAAGGTTAATAAAAAGCAACACTTTAACGCTCCCATTTGCACTGTTAAGTTTTCAGCATTAGGTGCGGAATTCCATAAAGCTTTAAATAGGCATTGGCATATTACTTCTAGTGATCCTAAATTATCAGGTATTTTTAAAGAAGGTACCAAATTGGTTTTTAAACGTCAAAATAATCTGTGGGGTCAAAATAATCTGCCCCACTTGCTTGTTAAATCTGAAGTTCCTTCTCGTGCAGTTGAACTACACATTCCGACTCTTCAACCAAATGAGAAATGAGAAGAATATCATCCATAATGGGTCTGTTTTGCTCTTTTTCAGTATTCAGGCTTGGGAACACAGTGAACTCTATCAATGCGGCCAAGAGCACTCTTCATATTTCTGACCCTGTGCTGCGCTTTTGCCTTACTTTTGCCAACCTCAGCCGTGCCTTGTACTTCATCTGTGACAACATACTCTGGGCCAGAAGTATCAGGCTAATACAAGAGATCGACAAGGAGCGCTGGAGCTTGAACTCCACTCGCTTCTATTTCCTGTCCTTGGTCATGAATCTAACCAGGGACGTCTATGTGATCGTCCAACTTATGGCGCTGAAGTCTCGGGACAGACGCTACCAGCAAAAAGTCGACCAGCACCTTAATGAAAGCCCGGATGTGGCTTGTGTCATAGTGCCTCAGCTTGATGCGTTCCTCTTCCTTCTCATCGAGAGCCTCAGAGGTCAGCCATCTGTGGCTCTCGATACACTTAAAAATGTGTGTGATCTTTTCATTCCACTTGACAAACTGGGCGTTTACCAGACAAATGCAGGGGTGGTGGGCTTCTGTGGGCTGGTTTCCTCTCTGTTAGGCATACTGTCAGTCTTGAGGCCCAGCCTCAGAATCAAGCCATGATTTAGGGAATGAGGAAAATAAGGATGCTTTCCTAACAAATGTTTTGATTACATTTGTGTGTTAAATTAGACTTCCATTAAGCTTTTGTGAAGGGATCAACATAAACGTTGTATAAGGGAGATAGGAAAATAGAACATACCCATAATGCAGCAGTGCACATGCAAAAAATAAAAAAATAGCATAATTTAGATGAGATTTCACAGTGTGTGTTTGACCACATGCTGTGTACACTTTCATTAAATAGAGTGCCTCGCTGTATCTGTTGTTGTGTTAACATGGCAGTCCTAGTGAAATAACACACCTGTATATTAAGCACCGTTCAGTAGGCTACTTTTAATAGAGATTATATCACTTTGGTACTGATGATATTGAGATGATGTTTGGAGCTTGTGACATTTATTTTCCAGGCAAAAGCTGCTCTCTATGGTGGCAGATGCACAGTTTTTTTTTTTTTTTATATGTGCTTATTATTTAGTCTCTTTTATGTGGAGAAGCATCTGTGAAATTAGTCTATTCTACCTCATCCTGACAGATCCTAGAGTTGTTTACATTTTATTTAAGGTGGCAGACAGGGTTTTGTTAGTGGTTATTTCCAATTTTGGTTTATCATGACTTTTATGACATTCTGATTCTGCATAATTGGTTGTCAGCACAAACTGCTCTAACAAACTGTGAACTTTAATAAAGGAATTTTTATGCACTGTTAAAAAGATTTTGGTGTAATTTTTCTCACGTCTGCCAAAAGAATATTGCAGCAGTTTTACCCCCACATTAGACACAATAGTAAGAGTAAAAACTTCTAAATGGGCACAAAACATCTCTTATGGATACAGAATATTTAAATATAGATCTACATTAATTTCTTGTGATTTGGTTTTAAACTTTGTTGAAATCTTCACTAGATTTAAAGTCGCTACGTAACAGAAGTAACATCAGATATTTTCTTTCGTATTTTGACATGCATAGAGTGAAACAAACTATCGAAAAGAAAAAATGTAAGGCGGGGACTTTGCTCTATCCATCATTTGTGTATTGGATTGAGGAAGATTGGCTAAATTTGAGGGTTCATTTACATAAGAATATACTAAAAACGGAAAATGATTTCCTTCACGTTTTCCCATACAAACGACACCTTTGTCTAAACATTCCCTTTTCACACGGATCCACGAAAACGACTAAAAATGCTGTATATGCTGTCAGGCCAGAAGTTGGCGATGTAACTTTCTAAAGAAAAACTACGAGCCTATAGACTGAACACGTAATACGCATGCGCTTGAAATCAAATTTGCGTTTTTGTAGTTTACACAGAGATAACGGTATAATTTTCAAAAACTTGTATTTTAAAAAACGTTTTCAAAAGTTCGAATTTTTAGGCTCCCAAAATGCATAAGTTTTCATTTTTTAGTCAAACATGGTGTTAACGGCCCCCGTAAGAAGTGGGCGGGATTTAAGCAGAAAAAATGATTGGAGAAGTCCAGGTTATGTTGCTTAAAAAAAAAAAAAAAAAAAAAACTATTTTATGCCGCATTAAATGCCGTATCCATCCATATTCAGAACTGGAAATGAAAAAGTCGGTGGACAACAGCATTAATTAAAACAGCTTTTTGGTAAAGTAAAACCTTTAGTAGATTGTTGGATGTATAATTGCACATTTTCGTCCTTCAAAATAAGAGATCTTTTGACTGCTATTAAATGTGAAACAACAGTATTTACAGGGTTTAATTACCCAGTGATATCAGGTACACAGTGTGATAAACTAATGATATTCTAGTATTATTTATATACTTCTATAGTGTTTAATATTTTGAATTCACTTTTATTTTTATATTTTCAGTTTTAGTGTTTCAACTTAAACATTTTATTTCAGTTAGCTGCCAAGACAATTTTAGTTTTTCATCCAGTATTTATACATTTTATTTCATAAACAAAAATATTTGTATAGTTTTAGTTAACAATAGCAACACTGTGCTAAACACACAAAGCAGTGAAATTCAGAAGACATGTCCATAGAATTAAGTTAATGTGGTCCAGTTTATTTAAGGCATCTACATACATGAAGTTGCCCCATGAAAGGATGAAACAAACTGTTAACAATATAAAGAGCAATGCTATTTTGGCATTTATTTATCTATCAGTTTTCAAGCCAGATAACAAATCAGGATCAAGGATTAGAGGAACTAACACTGTAGTGACATAAATAACAGATCAGCAGTCTCCACAAGAGAAATGTCAAAGCGCAAAAGTGACACAAAAAATACTTCCATAATGTACATGAGGCTATGGGCATGAACAGGAATGACACGGACATAGAGGGACTTTGGAAAGACTCTGCTTCTACAACGTTTGGTGTTTGAGCCGGGCCGTTATGTAAAGTAGAAGACCAGTGAGATCCTCAGTTTGTGTTCATCAAGTCCTACATTCTGGGAAAACAGACATACTGTATACTTTCATTCACATAAAACATGACCCAAACTAAAACAACTGGATTCAGAGAAACACCTTCATGCTTTAAAGGGAAAGAACGCAGTGTTATTTCAAACTTCAAGAGATTAAACCAATAACGACATGTCAATAAAAAATACATCGAAGTTCCTGTAACATATCCAACAGATAAGGTCATGAATATGTTCTTTCATTAATCAATACATTTTTGTTAAAAAAAAAGGATAAAAGGAATTAAATGTGCTTTAAAACATGATTGTTTCAGCTGTTTAGTGTCCAAATAAAATATATAACAATAATGTTATTAACATCATTTTAAGGACACAGTGTGCTGTAGTGGTTTGAGCACTGGACACAAAAATCATGAGAATATTATCACTTCTGAATGTTTATGGAAGCTCGTTTCTGCCACTGAATAAAAAAGAAAAAAGGTAATTGTGACTCAAAATTCGGACTTTTTTCTCTCAATTGCTAGTTTATATCCCACAATTCTGAGAAAAAAGACAGAATTACGAGTTTATATCACGTTCATAACTTACAATTTCGAGTTTATATCACACAATTCTGACTTTATAACTAACAATTGAGGGTTTATATCACACAATTCAGAGAAAAAAAGGCAGAATTGCAAGATGTAAACTCGCAATTGCGAGAAAAAGTCGCAATTACCTTCTTTTTTTATTCTGTGATGGAACCCTCTTCCATATATGTTTGTCATATTTGATTTTTTTTTTTTCTCATTTTGATGCGTCCAGGTTAAGCACCTTTCCTTTCATTACACAATTGGCTACAGGAATTCGAGATTAAATTTGGATCCCAGAGCTCATCATGTGGCTACACACACAAAAGAGAAAGGTCTAACTGAGTCTGATGTAGGTGCTGTCACACAGACGGATTGCACCCTCGTACTCTACACAGTTCGGTAGGATCACCCCAGAGCTGAGAAAATTCCAGGTTTCCCTTATTCTATCCAGTGATTAAACGCTCTATTATAGATGTCAAGATCTTACAAGTGTACAAATATACATTCAGTAAAATATCAAAATAGAATCTGTGCTTCGATAACAAACAGCGAACATGGATAAGATAATCATCTCTCACCGTCCAGGCTTTATGATTGTACCTTAAAAGCAGCCTGCAGCCTTGAAGGTCAGAGCTCAAAGATCGAGGGCAACAGTTACACGTGCGCTGCATTTGGGTGGGGGGAAAAACTATTTTGGCTTAGGTTGTGTCTCACGTCTAACCAAATTCCTCAACACTTTTTTTTATCAAAATCAGAAACTTTAAAGGGCTTAAGTCACTAGTCGGAGGTCTTGGCCTTTGTTTGATAGTTTGGACTTAGATCCTCTGGCTCCACACAGTTACCCACAGTTTGTGCGGAGGAAAGATGTGGAAATGCCTAGTCGTTCTCAAGGAGAGACACTTGGTCCTGGATTTTTCCACTGAGGAGTCTTTTGGTCCGTACGAGCAGACTGGGAAGGAGGAGGAGAGTGGAATGGCTGGCACTAGGAGAGCGCTTGTGTGCGGTCATAGTCCAGAATCAGGCCTTTGATGTGAGATAGTTTCTGATGGAGATACTCGCAGCGTTTCTTTTCTTCCCGGTAGCCTGGAAACTTCTACAGGGACAGAGAAGATCACAAACACGTTGAAAATCAAACAAGTAGGGGCTTTCAGACTGGCTATGAAAAATGGCGACATCTGCAGGACGTAAGATGCACTACATATAATGTTGAGTTTTCATTTAGACCCAGAATACAAGGCAGAAACGGTCCAGTAATATTATTAACTGAGAACAGTAAAATCTATTAAAAAATGTTTTAGAAAAGAATGAACATTTTAAAAAAACTAAACAAAATGAACATAAAAAAAGTTGCCTTGGCAGCTAACTGAAATAAAATAAGTTGGAAGTACTTAAATTACTAAAACCGAAATTAAAATAAATTAAAGCTAATTCGATTTATTATTATTTTTTAAAAACAATGACAAAAGCACAACAAAATAACAAAAAAATGAAAATATATATATATAAAAAATAGCTAATTAAAAATATTAATAAATACTATAATAGCAGTATGAAAATACTGAAAAGTGAATGGGATTTTAAGAATTTATATTAGAATATTAAATCAAGGCTTAGTTAAGTTAGTATATTTCAAGCCTAGCTCTACTTTGGACAGTCCCTAACATATTAAATATGCAGTTATGGGCTTTTCAAACACAATCCAATTCTCTTACCTTCTTATACTTCCTATACTTCTCCATTATTTGATCTTCCATTACCTAGAATAATACAAATCAAACATATTAATCTAAAATAACCTCTGACATCATGCATTATTTAACTGTTACATAAAGTTTGCCAAGGAATTATCTTGTAAAACAAGGACACATTCTTCCACGAGTAACTTTTAAAACAGGGCATTAAAGTTGCATTAAAAATGGACAGTACTGTTCAAAAGTTTGGGCTTGGTAAGATTGTTCGAAAATACAGTAAAACAGCAAATAACTGTTTTCTATGATAATATAATTTAAAATTTAATTTATTTCTGTGATGCAAAGCTACATTTTCAGCATCATTAGTACTCCAGTCTTCAGTGTCACATGATCCTTCAGAAATCATTCCAATATGAAAGTTTGATGCTCAAGAAATATTTCTTGTTGTCTTCAATGTTGGAAACGTGATAAAAAAAAATTCAGGACTCTATAATGAATAGAAAATCTATTTTTGCAATACTGTTACTTTTGATCAATTCAATGCATCCTTGTTGAATTAAAGTATTAATTTCTTTCAAAAAAAAAAAAAAAAAAATGATACTGACACCAAACATTTGAACGGTAGTAGTGTATATGATGTATTTGTCCATACCTTATACTCCTGTGTCCCAGGAGACAGTGTCTTTATCTTAGAGCCCAACTGTACAAAGATCTCCGTGACTCTCCCTATGCGTTCATGAAGGTCTCTGTACTCGTCGTATTCCGCACAGAAATCCTCTTTGTACCTCTGTCGCTGCTCAGAGTCTGTAATAGTGTTGTATTTTCTGAAAAGAAAATTGACTAGGTGAAACCAGTAGGTGGCACTACATATCAAAATAAATGAGTATTCTCACTCTTAAGGCGTTTGTCTGAAATGATTAGAGCTGTTTGTGACCCTTGACAGTTCAAATTCAAATAATTTCAAAGTAAAAACACGTGTTTTTTAAAATTATTCTTCAATTCTAGTCTGTAAAATCAAGCACTACAGCTTTAAATGTGGAGCACTGTTCATTTTCGATTCCTTCATTCATTTATGATGAAAATCAACAGACATGCTCCACCTGTACAGAAGCACAAAGCAGTAAAATAAAGCCCAAATCTGGTCTTACTTACATTAAATAGTCAGGCAGCTCATCAGGCGAGGCACGGGTGACAGGTGTGTTGGGCCGTTCGTGGTCTACACATTAACACAGACAAGAATCATAAAAAGGTTTATATAATCTCACTACACAAACATATCATACTGATGGAGTCATTTATCAAACGTTGCGATAAGGGACGTGGAGGACGGTCGATGCTGACAAGACGTCAATCTGGGGCCAGCCGTCAAAGTGGGCTCTGCACATTTTACAGTGGTTCAGCCAGCTGTTAGCGAGTTAATAGTCCACACTCGCGCTAGGGAAGGGCGCAGACAAGCAGTCACCTCACACACACACATCTGTGCATTCACACACAAAACATACAGGAACATTTCCTGAATTGCTTGGCATGTATGAACCTGTTTCGCCATCATTTCACTTGAAATGAAAGCATCTTGCAGCGAGTTACTTCTGAGAGGAACTGCAGTGGCAGAGTCGAGACAGGGTGTTTTGTTTTTCTTTTATGTAATAGGAGTTATGAAGCATCAAAAACATCTATTAGGGAAATGCCCTCTGAGAAACAATGACTCCAATGCCCTTATGGCAGTGCAAGTAAATATTGATCATGATCACCACAATCCCTGCTAACATCACTGCCTGACATTGTACAATGTAACAAGCATTATCATAAACTTACAGTAGATGGATGATAAGTGATCGAACGTTGAGGTTTTATGTTATACAACAATTTTTTTGTTGTTGAAGATACCAAAAATCTCTCGGCCGATTAACAGGAGAGCTTAAAAAAAGCTGTTAAATAATCCCTTTATTTTAATAAATAATAATGATATTACATACAATTTATTATTTTAAATAACAATCGAAGACTTAAGAATATGAAAACCCATCCTGTGTGAATGGCGCCAGCAAATATACCGTAACAAAAATGTATTATGGGCTATAATTACGCTATTGGTATTGATAATCATTTAACTTTTCTAATTATACACACTACTAGCATTCAAAAGTTTGGAGATGGTAAGATTGTTTAAATGTTTTTGAAATTTATTCTCTTATGCTCTACAAAACTGCATTCATTTAATAAAAAAGTTTTAAAAAAAGAAGATGTAGTATGATTAAAACTTTTCTATATTTGTATACATAATTTATGACAAAACGTAATTTATTCCTGTGATGCAAAGCTGAATTTTCAGCATCATTACTCCAGTCTTAAGTGAAAGTCCATCAGAAATCATTCTAATATGCTGATTTGATGCTCAATTTCTAATTATTATCCATATTGAATATTTGTTTAGGATTATTTGATGAATAGAAAGTTCGAAAGAACAGCATTTATTTGAAATAGATTTTTTACATAGATCTTTATACATTTGAAATAAATGATTTCTGTCACTTTTGATCAATTTAATGTATCCTTCTTACTGAATAAAAGTATTATTTACTATAATAATTTTTTAAAATATAATTTATTATATTATTATTTACTTTTATTTTTTTATTTTTTTTATCTTACAGACCCCTAATCTTTTAGTGTAGTGCATATAGTGCTTTCTCTGCAAATAATATATCTTCCACCAATTTATTGCAATATATTTACTTTGAAGCCTTTTAAACCCACCATTAATATTTTCTTGGTTCTGTTTGAGGTCGGGGCTGGTCTCGGCCCACGCAGGTTTTAAGCGTTCCCTCTCCTTTTCTTTATGCTTCTTGGACTTCTTCTTTTTGTGCTGGCCGTTCGCGAGCTGCTGGTCAGTGCGGATTTCTGGTTCAGTTCTTGTGTGTTTGGGGCTGCTGGGAGGCTGCTGTGCTGGTTCTGGCTGTTCTGGTTTGGGCAAGCTGTTGGACTCGCTGAGCTTGTGCCGCTGGTAAAGACCATCTGGGCTCTGCTGGGCTGTATTGGTTCCCCTTTGCAAACTTGTGTTTCCATGGGCAGAAGAGCTACGGCCCATGGAGGAGCTGAGATGTCCATTGGAAGGAGATTGCAAGGGCATGTTCTGGTCTAATAAACGTTGCTTTTTCGGCGTCTGACTTTCTAGATGGTCGGAAGGCACTGGGCGTTTCTGGGAGTAAAAAAAGAAGGAGACTTTCACAAAGTTTGCAGATGGAAAACAGCATGACGACTAGCAATAGTGTGGACCAGCAGCTTAATTGGCTCTTGCAAACAGCAGTGACTGAAGCGCCTCCAGCATCTCCATAAATAAAGAGCAGACGGCGCCAAGCATGATCTTCACAAGAAAACAACAAAAAAAGGAGGCTCTTCTCACTCAACTCAGGTAAAATCAATTACATATTCAACGACAAACCTGTGCACATAAGAACCTGCTAGTCCATTTCAGAGATTACACAACATGCAAAAGCTTTCAAATGAGGCTGACAGGGGGAAAAAAGTAGCACTTCTTTTTATAGGTGCATATTTACCATGGAGAGATTCTTGACAGGGCTGAGTTGGGATGGAGAATCCCCTGAGGTTTTGTGGAATGAATGGCTGGACTGGAAGCTTTTCAACTGGCTACTGCTGCTGCTGAGAGGCTGGAGTTTTCTGGAATATCAGAAAGTGTGACGCTGTCAAAATGTCATTCTTTGCATGCTTGCCATCAGGAAACCTTTGCTAATTAAATCCTGAAACAAATCCGTGAAACGTCCCAAGTTGAGATAAACTTCCTTGTTCCAGAAAGCTATATATAGGTGCAGTTATGCTTACTGAAGGCCCTAAACAAGACGACATTTAAAGCTCAGGATCAAGGTCTAGGATTTGCTCGGGTCGTTCCTGAGCGGAGTGTAAAAACACGTTCGGACGGTCAGAGCGCCGGGGCTTGTTAGTCTAGCTTAGCATTTCCGGGTAACTGATAACATCTGCAGTGAGACTGGCAAAAGCCTCGATAATGTCCAGTGACGAGAACAATGGTGCCAGAGACATTCCTACTCTGCTGGAACTTTCCTCTGGCAATCTGCTTCCTACAGCTCCTTCCTCTTATAGAGCTGCCTTTTCATCACACGGAGGATCGTTCCTCATAAGCGTCCTGACAAACCTGCTGTACTACTGTGGAATATAGAGTCAAATATAAATAAAAAAATATGTTTTTATTTATAAATATTATTAAACTAATAAATAAAATGTTTAAAAAAGCCACTAGTTCAAAGGTTTGAGGTCAGTAAGGTTGCATTAAATCGGTCAAAAGACTTACATTGTTACAACAGTTCTATTTTAAATAAATGCTGTTCTTTTGAAACTATTTATCAAAACATCCTCCACAAAAATATTAGGCAAAACAACTTTTCAACATTGATGATGAGAAATGTTTCTTAAGCACCAAATCAGAATGATTTCTGAAGGACCATGTGAGTAATGATGCTGAAAATTCAGTTTTGCATCACAGGAATAAATTGCATTTTAAAATATATAAAATTTCACAGTATTACTTCAAATAAATGCAACCTTGGTGAGCATAAGAGACCTCTTTCAAAAACATTCAAACAAATTCTGACCACAAACTTATGCACAGAAGCACGTTTCAGCAAACACGCCATGTTGTGCAAGTCCCATTCTGGGGATTATTGCAAGAGCATCTCGAGCTGTCCCATTACGACCCTTTGACTGGCAGTGCGCATAAAAATTGAGAGGCAGAGGTGAAGGCAGAGGAGAAACTGAAGTACACCGTCAGTTAGGCGGAGTGTTGAAAACGTCCCAAAAACACGGCTGCCAAGCTCGTATTTGGCAGGATGGCTGTCGTTTATTCCCCTATTGTTCCGGGACTGAATGCGGCTGCACAGAAGCTTTCAGCATAATACCACTCAACAGCACAGTGAATCGCATGGCTTCCTGCTCAGACAGGCCTATTAACCACATCATCTGTGCTAAAACGCATACTTAATAGGGCCTCCAAAACACATCATCTCGGCAGACTGCGGGGGCACGGCTTGGGTGACAATACTGTACTAAACGTCATCAGCACTTCTTAGTCAAAGAAAGTTGGGAAATAACACTGTTATGAAAGCTGAACATGTTTCAAAAGTAGGGTTATTATCCTTACCTAAAACTATTAAATACATTTTTGTTAATTGAAATAAAGCTGAAATAAAATAAAATGTAAATATTACATAAGAAACTTAAACTAAACTAAATTTAGTTTGCGACACTCCCATAGACTTCGATAGGAATTGAGGAATGTGGAAGTAATGCGTGTCGTGGGACAACCAATAGTTCCTATTCCCTATTCATTTCAGTGTTTCTCAAGCACACTTGCTGAAAAGTTGATGAATTACTGCATTTTGTTTAACATTTTAACGCATTAGTTGAATACAATTTTTATTTTGAAGTAAAAAGATAAAGTTAGACCCTTGGGGTGAGATGTAATTTTACATTTTGTTCTATTACAACTAAATAATAGGGCTGTAAAATGATTAATCGTGATTAATCACATCCAAAATAAAAGTTTTTTTTACATAATATATGTGGGTGCACTGTGTATAATTATTTTATATATATAAATACACACACATGCTTGTATATATTTAAGAAATATTTTCATGTATATACTGTATATAGATTTATATATAATTTATATTATATATAAATATAAATATTTTATATATAAATAATATTTTTTCTTAAATATACATGCATGTGTGTGTATTTATATATACACAAAATAATTATACACAGTGCACCCACATATATTATGTAAAAAAAACTTTTATTTTGGATGTGATTAATCGTGATTAATCATTTGACAGCCCTACTAAATAAGCAAATGTTTCTATTTATTTCTTACAATAACTCATGGGCATCTTCCCCCATGTTACCCTACAATCAAAACAATTAGATGTAGCTGAACACTTACACAAGTGTTCGTCTTTTCAATTTCATTACCATCTCTACAGAAGGGCCAACTAAGGAATAATTTTGCACTGGATTCTCAAAATTAGAGTGTCATTCTTGTTTTGTAAAAACAGTTTTCAAAAGAAAACATGTATAATGCTACCTCTGGTCAGTGTTTTTAGGTCATTGTTTTTCTGAGTGACAAAGTGTGTTTGTTGGGCGGAAACGTTGCTAGTGTGCTAATGTAAAAATGGCCTGATTGTGACATGAATTAAGTGTTTTGATAGCATTCTGAATGTGAAATTTAATGCTGTGCCAAGCTGAAAGTTGGTTAGAAGAACTGTGTGAAGAGTTGAGTAATGTATTCAGAATGTATAAAGTATTGAGAAATGTGTCCAAGCAGTTGTAAAAAACTGTAATTGGGCTGTGGGAGTATGCAAGACAAAAAAAGGTTGGAAGTAGAGTAAAGAAAAGAAAAGATATAGTAAGTTAAAGTATTGTAGATTAGGGTCTCACTCACTAAAACGGCAATACATATTTACAAAATGATAAAAAATTATGTTGTAAGAACTGAGAAAATGTACCTTGCCAACACCCTTTGAATGAGTTGGCGCTCTTCCTCCACATAGCCGGGCCAGTCCCTCCGCACATGTCTGTAGAAATCATCCTTTAGAGTAAAGCTGTGGTCTTTGGGATTGAGTTTAGCCACCTGAAAGGAAATATACAATAGAATTATTCTCCTAATCAGAAACTGCCCTCAGTTCCCAAATGCACTTAAGTAAACAATATTTCAAGAGTGACTTGAACCATCAAGCTTTCCTTCAGTCAGCATCTTTTTAAAGAAATATGACACTTCAGAATTTTTTACGAGAAAGAAAAATAACATACGATAGGCCTTTTAAGGACATTCTTAAATACATCCAGAGGAGACTAATTCAATTCAGACCTCGTAAATGTAAAACAGAAGCCATAAATGTATTGCAGCACGGGACGTTCTGTAGAGCACTTCTACAAATGGGATATGAAACCAGTTCAATCCACTGTCAAAACCAGTGGCGTAACTATCGGTAAGCAGGGTGCGCGGTTGCTTAGTCGTCTCAGTAGATCTCTTCAGACACACACACAATCAGGGGCCCGCGTGACTGGAAGATATTGATTGACAGCTGGGGCCCCCTATCGCATTTGACTACTTTAGTCTGATCGCATTTTACTTTATCTCGAAATTATTTGAATAAATAATGACAAAAACATTTTTTACTGATCATTAAATACATGTTTAAAACGAACAATGATGGATTTTGGTGTAATTTGTTTCGAATTGAGACTGGGGAATCCCCGGGTGAACATGCGTATTGCGTCACTCAATTTGCCATACTGTCAATTGAGAATGCCCGTGCGCACCATCTGGATCTTAAGGATTTAATCGACAACTTTGCACAGAGGAAAGCACGGAAAACGCCGCTGTAATGCAAGTGAGCATCTTTGTTATATCTTTGGACCTAAGCCTATGTGTGTGCAGTCATAGCAGTGAGTAATGTGTTATGGTGTGCCGTCACCAGTGTTTTTTATTTTGTTGTGGTGCGCGTAGGCTACTCCTGATTTTGTCAGTCATCTCATCTCTTATATGCGTCATCACGTGCAGTAGTAGGGGGGCCCGCCTTGATAATCTTGCATAAGGGCCCGGTGTTGGCTTGTTACGCCACTGGTCAAAACATGACCCATTCTTGAAATATCATTAAGACAGCAGGCTAATTGCTACCGCTAGCACCGCAACCTCCCCTTGTTGACTGTGCAGGAACTCATGAAAATAAACCCAGCAGGAAACCTTAGCAAATAAACCTACTGACAAAATCAGCCATGGCCATCTCACCTGCACAAATGCAATAGAGAAGCAGCTCTGGACATAAACTAGATTATCTGCACAAGCCGAGTACTGAACTGTGTCTTCTGAAGTAGGATTGATGGGAGAGATAAAAAAAACTTGGCACTGGTGCAGAATGTTACACTGACAAAGAATTTTAATGAACAACATATTATACAGGCTCCAGACTATAACTAAAATGGTCACGAAAGCTAGGGGACAAAAATAAAAACGTGGAACAATTTAAAATCTAGCCTCCGTGAGCGAGGGAGGTCAGGAAAACTTTGTGTGCATTCATACGCAGATGGTCAGATATCATCTTGCGGGGTGGCCTCAGTTAATTACATTTGCAGTAAGTGTTTCCTGCATGCAATAACCAACAGTGCAATTCATGATTTTTTCGATTTGTGAACAAATGACTCTTATGAACTGGTTCTTTTTATTGAGTCAAGTCAAAATTATTCAAACAATCTTGAAAAAGCTTATGAGTTAGCGGTTTCTATCAAATCACCAAATCAGAATATTTCAAGGATTTCTGAAGGATCATGTGACACTGAAGACTGGAGTAATAATGCTAAAAATTCAGCTTTCCCAAAAAATAAATAAATAACATTTAAAATATATTAAAATAGAAAATAAAGCAATTTATAGTGAATTTAGAACAGCTAAGGGGCGTTGTTAGGCACGACGCGGAGCGGAGTAAATTCACTGCAAAACACGGCTTCAAGGGGCTTATTGCTTTTATAAAACGGTTACTCAATAAAAATATTCATTTTAATATTTATATTATTCATAAAATAAACACCAGAAACAACAAATATAACGTTATATTTATAACACATTTATTCCTCCGCCAAGCAATGTAGTTCCAAAGAGGTTGCCAAGCAACACATGCAGCAACAAAGAATCACAAACGGCAGTTGCGCAGTAATACGCTGATTTCACGCAGCCGCCATTTTGAAATCGAAAGCGAGGCTCCGGTGGGAAGAACCCCGGAAGTACAGATAGACAACAGTGCCTTGGACTACCAACCTGAAGCTGCTGCCGCGATTTACACTATTGGATGTTAATATCCAATATAGGACATGTATATAGTTCGTTCCTGCTTCTTTTTTTACGTTCTGCATTATATATAAAACAATTATTTTATTTATAAATGAATTTCACTGTATATAGTTTAAAGTATGAAAGAAATGTATGTACATTTTTAGAATAACTAATTTCTACATTAAACACAACAATACGCCATTGCATTCACGACTCTCCTATGATTAAAAGCGACACTTCCGGTTTTCTTCCCACCGGAGCGATTTCAAAATGGCAGCTGCGTGAAATCAGCGTATACTAATGTAATGCGGTCACAGGTGTATGTTTGTTGAGTAATTTACAACGGCTTCGAACGCGGCTCAACCAATCAGAAAAGGACCGGAACTATCAGTTTTATAAGTCATTTTAAACGAATAATATTTCACATTACTGTTTTTACTGTATTTTTGATCGCGTAAATGAAATCTTGGTGAGCATAAGAGACTTTTCAAAAACATTAAAAAAATCTTACTGACCCCAAACTTTTGAAATGTAATGTAAATTAATCACATGTAATTTAAGCAGAAATATTCTTTTAAAAAAGAGTGATATTTATATATGGCACAAGTACAATCACTTGAGTGAGAGCATCAAATTGAAACCAATTCATACTTACAAGCACAGGTTTGGACACATTTTTCCATTTATGTATATTATAAATATTTAGTTTGTCGAGCATTTGCACTGTAACATGCCGTGCACTTGTGTTTTACCTCATCCAGCACAGCGCTCAAGTCGGCCTTGTCTTTGGGGCTGGCTTTCTCCCTCTCCAGCCAGAGCAGTAGTTCTGGCTTGCTGTAGGGCTTTAAGGCCAGAATGTGAATGACACGTTCCTTCAAGGGCCTATGGGCCACCAAGCTGGGTGCACCACTCCTCTTGTTGCTGGGTGAATGTCTGTTAATGTTGTCAGAGCTTGTAGGCAGGCCTTGTTTCTTCTTAATCTTCACACATTTAACTGAGGGAAGAACAAAAAAACAAACACCAAGAGGGTCACTAATGTTTTTCAATATTATTACTTGGTCTGTAAAACAAAACAAAAAATTACCTTATGTTCTGTGCTGGGTAAGAACTGAAATTATGGAAACTGGAATTAAGGCTGCATGATAAATGAAAATGATAGAAATATCGCAAATGTACATATCGCGATATGCATATTGCAATGGCTTACGATAACTGAATGGTTTTAAAACTTCAAAAGATTACGATAAGGCTAACTTTTAGGCCGATGCAGACAGCAGAGAACAGACTAGACACATGACTGTTACATACATGTGACATGCTTAATGTTATCAGGCGCCATGAGCAAAGTACTCAGGCACACAGGGAGCCGCCTCTCAGACAGCATGTAATCTGATTTCAGTTCTCTTCCGCAGCTTATATGGCCAAATACAGACAAAATTATCTCAAAATGCCCACCTAGGTGACTATTCACGTTAACACAGTCAGTTATATCTTAAGTGGAATAAACAGTTGAGAAAGAAAGCACGCATGTAACTATATATATTGGATCTGTGCAGCTCTTAAAGTGACAGCAGCCTAATAAACTCACTTCCGTTTGTGTGCTTAATGTTAATCAAACAACATTAGAGAAAATCCCTACCTGCTCCTGACGGAATAACTTTTGTAGCTTTGATAAGAATCAGTGTATATTTAATACATACAGTGAAGACTAAGCAGTGTTTTATTTTTACATTTGATTATTAAATTTCTGATGTTCAATAAACCTAAAGTAAACGACACTTACTTTTTATGTAATGCTACAGTAAAACACTGCGTTTCACTTTCAGAAGTTGTAGGGATGCTTTCTTCTCACAAAATTGCGAAACATGTATGTTGCTTATTTCATTTTCAATTTTCAAATATGTTTAAATATAATTAAAATGTATTTTACACACTTAAAGCATTACCGTATCACATATCAAGAATCGCATTATTTAACGAGTTTTCACATATTGCATTTTTCTTCAATATCGTCTAGCCCTAAGTGGAATATATTTTCTTTCTCTTTGTATTTTTTTTATATCAATATAGTACAAGACTTTCCTGCTGAAATCTATGTGAAAACAAGTTAGGTAAAAAGCAATCTAAAAGTAATCAAAAAGTAGTCCCGTTTACATTACCTAAAAGTGCAATAAATAGTTACTAACTATAATTTTTGCCATGTAATTTGCAATCAGTAGTGGACTACAATTTGTAAGCAATGCTTATATTATTCCTTAATGCATTTTGACGTCTTCACAAGAGTTTAAAACAAGCTTAGAATCTGATAAGACTTAAAAAAAAGTGACAAAACGGGCTGAGAGATTATTTCTTAACCCGACTGCCTCTTTAGCACTGAAAATAAACCGAGAGCTCTGCAAATAGCACAGAACTTCTGGGGCCACTCAAATCCCAAAGCTCTCGTTACGCAAAACAAAACCGAGCCGCCCTGAGGTGAAATTAGACACACACATAACGGAGACGGAGTGAGCGGTGGCGGCGCCGTGACAAATGACTGTCGCACATACAGTAGTGTAAACAGCAAGCGTTGGACCACTTTAGGAAATACAGCTTTGAGTAAACATTACGGCCCCCGTAGCACTCGTATGACCCATTCTCCTGATGTGCACTCTGAAACTGGCGTGCACCAGGCGGGACGTAGAGTGTAAAAGAGAGCTGACGGTAAACGTTGCTCTCTCCTGTGCAAATATCTAAGCTGTGGAAACGGAAGCACCTAAAATAGAGCCGGTTTTTTCTGCTTTCCATCTTCCCACCAGTGTGCCAATTCACCTGGAGCCAGCAGGACACAGGAGTGCTAATAGATATCAAGCATACCTAATCTTATTAGAAGTTTAAGCTGTACTTTGAAGGTTGCAATAGGACAAAGTGAAGCATAAGCTGTCCATACAGTGACTGCTATGCTTCTGTGCGCATCCAGTTTTACATAACGTTCATGCGTCCAATTATACTGCTTTAGGGCTTTATTATCGCTGCAGAAACTACTAGCTGTTGTCTTGCGAGTTAAAATCAGAATGGACTGGGTTAAATCCAATTCATTTTACGTTAAGTCATTTTAAGCAATCCTCACATTAACCTGAAGGGAAAGTTTACCTAAAATTGTACTGTCTGTTATCATTTATTCACCCTCATGTTGTTACAAACCTGTATGACTTTCTTGGTTCTTTGTAACACAAAAGAAAATATTTTGAAGAATGTTGGTAGCTATTCAGTTTTGGTGACTATTGACTTCCATTGACATTTCTCAAATTTTTTTTTTTTTTTTGTGTTCTGCAGATTACAGATTTGGTAACAAGAAGTTAAGGTGGTGAGAAAATGATGACAGAATAAAAAATGTTTGGGTCAAAAATCTCTTTAAACCTTCAAAACTAACTCAACATCAAACACTAACCCTATATTAAAGGTATTGTAGGTAGGAATTTTATAAAAAAAAAAAACTTTTTTCCAAATTTGTTTACAGTTTCTGTATATATCAATGCATAATTAAAATGTAAGTACTCTGATAAAAAGAGTATAAAAATCGAGTGACTCTAGACCGTTTAATCTGCACTAAACACAGCTCATTATTTCCATCCGGGACGAAACAAAGGATTGGCTTAGGCGACTGTCACTCTCTTGCAACCATGGCAACCTCAAGGGGCTGAAAAGTAACGCCTTGTGACGACCTCCTCTGCTTCGCCCTCGACCCCGGATCTGTCCTCGAGCTGACGATGCGGTACTTGTCTCTGGAGTGTAGTCCTCATCAGTCAACAATGCTTTAGTCATGGAAACTCTTACATGCAGAACACCATATATGTTATGAATGTTACACGAAATTCATCTTAATCACAGTGTAAATGATGGCAATGGAAAAACGTGTACATGCAACCTGTTTTTAGCTTTGCCTTATAGATAACTAGCTCGTTAGCGAATCAATAAATATATATTTTAAACTTTACCAATATCAATATGCTAGCTTGATAGTGTGTACTAAAATACATCTTATTTGTTTATCTTCATAATGATAAAGTTAGATTTTGTTATTACATGTGATTCTGACATGATGTCACTACATGCACTGCGCTCCTTCCTCTCCGCTCGTCTCAGGTAAATAATGCATCTTCAGCTCAGCGGTCGGAGTCGCGCGTTCATGTGTTTTTGGGGCGTGGCTTTGGAAGGAGCCCAGAAGGGAGGGGGTGGAGTGAATGGAAATAATGAGCTGTCTTTAAAACAGTCGTGAGAGGTCTACAGACACTCGATTTTTATACTTTCTTTTTCAGAGTACTTACATTTTAATTATGCATTGATGAATACAGAAAGTGTAAACAAATTTGGAAAAAAGTTTTTTAATAAAATTCCTACCTACAATACCTTTTAAGTATATGTAATTAAATTACTCAGTACTCAAATGTATCATTTCACTGTAATACAGACTGTATTTTTTTCTATCGCACATTTCATTATACTTAAAAGAGCTGTCTTCGCATTTCAACAGTTGTATTAACAACATGATGTATTGCGATAACCATGGAGCTGAGAGACTACTTATTTGACTGGGACAGTCCAACATGCTGACAAACAAAAGAGAGAAAAAACACAAAGTACTGAATTCCTCTTGACGCCTAAACACTAAACATGTTGCGCTTTGCAAAAAGTGCTGAATTAAACACTTTGTCTGCAAAAGCATTAAAAATACTTTTCCGTGTAATACTGTATGAACTGTAGACAGATGTCACAAAACTCCAACATCAAACATTTAATCAAATCTAGCCTTACAGGCAATCTCATCAAATCAAACTGTTTTACCTCACAAAGCCCAGTAATCACTTGTTTAATCATGCCCGCATGCTCAAATATGCCACAACACTGAGACATAGATAAAGGTGCTTATAGTAAATGTTACAGTGTATTGCTAGTTTATAAACATGTTTGTGTATTCACAAACACATGATGACCAGTGGTGGGCCGATCTATATCGCCAAGGCAGATATTATCGGCCGATATTTGGCATTGGCTGACAAGTTTTTCTGTTTGGTCGATAAAGACTTTTATTTTGACAGCGCTGAGAACCATTTGAATCCCTGCTCTTTAAGATATCGGCATTGGCCTTCAAAAAAAAAATCCATATCGGTTTACCACTAACGACAACTGTACTCGTCCTGATAGCTTAATGAATGAGAACTAACATCATCAAACAGTAAGTACATACTAAATGTTTGATGATGTTCTCCTGCACGCCTCGCGCCAGCATGCAAAATCAGAGCGACCTTAATACCTCTGCTCTTTATAATTAAACATCCACTGAAATACCTGCCATACATTTCAAAGCCTCTGCCAACTGTGAGAACTATGATGGCAAAGCAGTATTTAGAAGATACAGTAAGTGTACCATTACTTTACCACAGAAATACAGTGTGTCGCCACATGAGGTTTCTGCGCTCGACTACAGAGATGGGGAAAAAACGTTGGAGGCCGTTTTATTTTCATTTCAGCCAAACAAATGTATCTGCCAGGCACTAAATTGTGCAAGGACATGGCTCCATTTCTACCGCCATATGCATTTGGAGCTGGTTAAAAATATGCATGGCGACGGTCTTGCTTTTTGTCTGTGGTGGAATAAAAAGCCAAAGCAAATACTATAAACTCAGTCGCAATATGAATGTGAACCAAACACACCTATTATATGAAATCTGAATGGTGCAACATCAAATCATCCCACTTTGGTCCTCCTATAATGTCCGTCCCTAAATTATATCCTCAGCAAGCAGTGCAGCCCAAATGTGTTTACATTACAAGGGAAATTGAGACACATACGGACAAAAAACAAAAGTATTCTGCAGGGCTTTGTCTGGAAGGGCACTATTTGCATTCCACAGTGAATGCGATTCAGTGCTTTTAATTGCCTTGAATCAAACAGACTTTATTTTCTCCAATCACTCCATCACGCATCCACCTTTTTTAGATACGAGAGGCCAGAACGACGCGTGTCCTTCTCTCTAGTCGTCGCTTGGGGAATTGCAGACTTTGCTTCAGAGAGTGTATAATGTATAATTCAGTATTTCTGCAGATGAAAACCTAATTGATCCCGAGCCATGGTAATTAAAATCCCGGGCTAAACTTCATCCACCCAGCTTGAGACTTGTTAGCGCATACTTCTGGCAGTCTCAATCAGATTAATGGAACAGGTCTGTGGCTTCATGCCTGTGTCATCTGCAGATAAATGCTTGAGAAGGAGGTATTGGGGGAGGGAAACACATCTTACACGCCTCGATTGATATACACAACCATCCCCTGATCACAAACGCTCTGGTTTATCAACCATATGAACATAATTAACGATACTACTAGGGTAGGATTACTTGCTTTTGGATGAAATAAATGTGTTATTTGATATGAGTTATATGAGAGATGATTATGTTTGAATATGGAGTGGTCCTTTGTGTGTGTGTGTGTGTGTGTGTGTGTGTGTGTGTGTGTGTGTGTGTGTGTGTGTGTGTGAGCTGGATTCTTACTTTGACGTGTGGATCCAGGTTTGATCTCAATGGCTGAGCGACTCAAGATGTCTTTTTCCACTTGAGACATGCGCTCGCGGGTCATCTGGTAGGAATCGTCGGTGGCACACACCGTGATTTTGTCCTGAATACTGCCCTGACCTTCCAGATGATCCCTGCCATCTCTAAAAGGAAATACACAGTGAGTTCAATTATCACGCTGGAAAATATACATTTGTTGAAATTCCAGGGATTTAATTACAGTCTTTGAATTATCAGGATTATTGACATTACAAACAATTAATTGATGTTTCTTACTATATGTCATCTTTTTTTAAGAGTGTTTATGAATTTATGTATGTCATGGAGACGTGGCTATAGAGCTTGTTTGAGGAAAAAGTATATAAATATTAAATTTATTTATTTATGAATTTATATTAAACCTATAAGTTATATTAAAATTCTTATTTCTGAATACATAAACATTGTTTTATAAATTAAATATATTAAAATATTTGACAAATATATATATATATATATATATATATACACACACACACTTTTCAGGATTATTTAATACATGGAGTAAAAAAACTGCATTTATATGTTGCTAAAAATAGATATTTTAAAAAGGTACATTTATAGCAGGGCTACTGAAAATTTGCAAGAAAAAAAACTGAGTTGAAGCATACCATTAAATCAATAATTTTTTTAAGGACATATATTTTTACAAGTAATTAAAAAAATACTTGCAAATGGCATGGAAGTTAACTTCTGATTTGGAAGGTTTGTTTGTGTAATAACGTTAACAGCATTGTGAATAAAAGGCTGAATCAAAATCAGTGTGAACATTTCACAGAAATTTCCTTAAAAGCTCTGAGCATCAACCTGCTATGAAAAGACTGACATGTTTAATTCCTCTCTCCGCATGTGTAAGTTTTACAGCTGCTCCCTTTGTCCACAAAGCAGCCGGAAAGTCAGTGACTAATTTATGACTAATGGTCTTAACCGGTTTTTGTGGAATTGCTTTGCATCCTCTTTCCCACAAACCTATGTAATGCTATTCTTCCGCGAGACAAGTGGAGTATTGTGAGACTACAAGTCTCCTTTGAGCGGAGAGCGAACAGATCAGTGCCACCCCGATCAAGAGCAGCAACTTCACAACCGACCGTGACGCCAAATACTGTAATGGAACTTGGGTTCAAAGGTCCAAGTAAATGTTGATCCTAACAAACAGCCACCAACACTCAATGCTCAGATTTATTCAAGACACACAATAACTAATGGCAGTAATAGGAGTATACATTACTACTTTTATTATTGCATTTAAGAGTTTTGTGAATATCAGTGAATAATGACTCAAATTCATTCTTTCCCCATAAGTCCTATTGCATTTGTATTGTATGAATTATTTTTTAAATAATATATTCATTATTTATGGTGCTTTTTCCCTTCTCTTTTTGGAGCTTTACCGTTCCCGGTTAGTGTGAACTGTCACTATGTGCTCCACTGAGAAAATAACAGCATGCTATTTTATACTGTTTTACAGGGGTCGTGACATGGACTTTTTTTTTCTTTTAATGTGTTCCTTGAGGTTCACTTATGTTAATAAAGTTTTTATTTATTACTCGCTATTGCACAAAACATTATCTATATAAAACCATAGTTTACAGACAAAGCATTATGAAATCATTTACTTGCAGTGTGTGATGCAGCTGCTACAGCTACAGTTCAGTGTTTCCCCTAGGATTTTTTTTCAGCGGGGGGGGGGGGGGGGGGGGGGGACTGCTAGTGTTGCGGAGCAGGCGTGTTACGGATACGTGGTGTACATTTTTTAGCAATCAAAAAGCATGTCTAATTAATTGAAATAGTGTATTATGAATCATTAAACGTATACAACATTTAAAAAAAATATGAAAAAAAAATTCACACTAATTCTGTGTTGTGTTTTTTCTGGTAATAAAATGAAGACATAAAACACAAATTTTATCATTTGTCATCAATTTTAATCATATGAAATTAAATAAACTTTTTGTCAAATAACGTGCTGCACAATGAGCTTTACTGTTAAAATTAAAACATGGATTATTCCTAAAAAAATCAGTTTTGATGATAATTTATTTGGATTAGTGTTAGTATTATTACATTGGGACATATCTAAATTCTACTGTACAACGGTAATATATTTCTGTCAAGTTAAACCGAACTTTTATTTTGACGGGTTGCCGTGAAGACCTTTTGAGTTTGTGTGTTTGTCATAATGATAGTTTTTCTCAAATGAAGCGGTTAAATTATCACAAAGTGACTTTCGGAGTGGATCTAGAGCCTGGAGAGGAAGTTTATGCATTTGTGTCTTCATATAGGCAAAAAAACAGCGCAAGCGTCACACGTGCTTCAGTGTGTGTGTGTGTGGTAAATGAAACTGCGCGTCGGCTGCACCATTCATTCACACAGAACAAGCAGGATTCGTATTTAAATAGTCTTTGTGGTTTAATATCCACACACACTTGTCTACATCGCGATTTGATTTCAAGTGTACACTGAACTGCTTTCTATTTATTCCTCAAAAGATTGACAAATTCCATGAAATTCCGCGTTATACAGTAAATTTCTTTTTTATGACTGGATTTCGTCAGCAATTTAGGGGGGGCGGGGGGTCGTTTTGGGGGGGCGGGCCGCCCCCCCCAAAACAATGGTAGGGGAAACACTGCAGTTAACTGCCTCATCTTTCAACAAAAGAAATCTCCATTACACTGTGTCTCGTTTACAAAATAAAATGCTCCGAACAAACATATAATCCTCCGACGCGATCTGGAACGCCAATTACATAAACCACCCACTTTTTTCCGACGCTGGGATTCTACTGAAGTCTGTACAGACGCAAATGAGCTGTTTAAAAAGGATGGGTTTCATTTGTCCTGTCAACAGACTCAAGTACATGGAGTACATCAGAAACTGAACGCACATCTGTATACTGTATCAGTGTAGACAGTGTCAGTGATTATAATGGGCACTAAATGTTTTTGACGTGACGCTCACATCCAGTGTAGCAAATGTCAGCCGCTAAGCGACTGAATACCAGTGGGCGGAGCCTATAGTGCAATGATGTATAATTATTCACAGATCCCGCAATATCAAAATGAGCTGTTTTTGGAGCTTTATTAAATAAATGCTTTGTTTTTAATGAGGATGACGTTTCAAGCTATGAAACTTGCAGAATGTTTTAATGGTACGAAGACTTCTTATAAGTTAAAAGATCAAGGCAAATTTGATTTCTCAGGTCATGACCCCTTTAATTATATTATATTATATTATATTATATAAAATTATAAAAATGTTTGAACTTTTGTTTGTGAAGTGTTTTCCGTTATTTGATTAAGTTTTACATCAGTGTCTTACCCAGAAACATACTGGTGAATACAGTCAAAGCTGGCCTGAGGTTTGTCTTTACTGTCACTGGACAGATAGAAGGAGAAGACACGGAAAGCATCAGGAGAATCCGAGGAAGCAGGAATCTTGATATACTGTTAGATGAAAAAAAAAAAAAAGAAGACATTTCAGACCTGTGTCAATAACGTTTAATTCAATTCTAAATATACATTTATAAAAGGTATACATAAATCATGCCCACTATATACATGCACACAGTTTAATTGTGAAATGGATTTTTTTTTTTATACCCCCATGCTTCAGAATGCCAATTTTAAACAATGGAAATACCCTTCCAAAACAGATAATGCATAAATACAAAAAAAAAAGCTTTTTGTAAAAAACATCTTTCATTCAGTAAACCAATCAAATGAGCTCCTCCTACGACTCACCAAAACACCGTATTCAGCTTGTACATAAAACGTTGCATGCCCTCATTAAGCAATTAAGTTATTACAGTACTTTCATAGAAAAGGCACTTGCTGTACCCAAACCTATTTCATGGGGGGATGATTTGTCCTTGCCTATTTCTGGAAATAAAAAGTAAAAGACACTCATATTTGCTAATTATATGAGCTTAACGTGGGTTTGTAACAAGCGTCCTACTGCACAACAGTAATTAAATTACTAAATAGCACGCAAAAAAATTACATAGAGCACCTTTAATGCGAGACAGTTTTTCATATGTTCTTGTTTTGTAATGAACATGTTTTTTTTTGAGGCATGAATAAGCAAATGAGCCAAAGAAACCTTTATTTTTGTCAACAGAGTATGTGCTTTTTGCTCAGCTTTAATAAAGCGTAGAAGGCCAAAAACGGCGAACGCAAACGGAGCAAAAAATAAACTCCAAGACAGGCAACCTACTTAAACTATTGTCTATTTATCTACGCAACATTATTAGTTATAATTGGAAACCGGTATTTTCTTTCCTAGTTGTCAACGGTAAGCTACTTCAGTGCTATAAAACTTTTCAGCAAAACTGTGCTTTGATGGGTCCTGACTTATTCATGCCAGAATGACTGCAGCTCCGAGTTTGTGTTCTGAGGCAACGCAAGGGTCACGGCTCAGTAACTGAGTCAGTTACATAATACTCGCAGTCATCTGAGGGCGACCAAAACAAATGCAGGCCTGAACAAGTAACATCGGCAGCGTGACCTCACTACCTGTGTAAAGTCCTGTGAAAAGGAATCAATAAGATTCTGTCCAACTCTACATGCACAAAGCCAAAGAAGCAGTGCTTCAAGACTGCCAAACACATGATGAGGGAGCGCTGTGAGCGCCACACGGCGAGTCTGAGCAAAAGCGGTTCCTACAATCGACCTCGCGGCACTCAACTCGCCTTCATCCGGCGGCTTCTATACTATATAACTTAAGACTTTAGGCAGGCTATTTCTGATTTTAAAAGACAAGCCGTATTCTTCAGGGAGGCCTAGAAACCTACTTTCACTAATACAAGGCAATTCAAAATACAAACTCATTAAGTAACAGGTATTGCGCTGTCATTAAAAACAGCTTTTCCTTTCAAACAGCCTCCAGCAGATAATGATGGATGTTTTAGTTGAGGCAGCGTCCTAGATTTGAGGGAAATGGATGGGTAGTGTCCGCATAAATTAAATACTTCATTTTTGTTTGGGAGGCAGCAGTCTATCATTTGTGCCTGAACGTCTCCAAAAGTGAGGTGGCAAATGACTATGGACACAAAAAGTCACCTAAATCATTTAAAACAGTTTTCAGGTGTGTGACTTTTCCATAAATGAAATGGCAGGGAACAACAAGGCACCTTTAAATCCCCAGTCAAATGGAGCCACAGGGTATTTTCAAATATGCAGGGTTATGCTGTGCGAGCAAGTTTGGTTAAAGACTGGTTTAAAGAATGCATCAATGTCCCAGGGCATGAAAGCTCTCAAAAAGCATAGTGCAACCTTTGTCCACAGAGAGTGAACAATTTTCCCACCAGTGATCAAAACTCACAAATCAAAACCTACAGCTTCTACTTCTACAGCAAGAGATGGGCCAAAAACAAAACAACCACAAACAAAACTTCACAAACTACAAACTTCCCTACTATATAGAAGGCGAAAAACAGTATGTGACAATATAAGAATGTCTGAATTCACAGTACTCATAAAAGAGTAGGCAAAAAGTACATGGATGACCTACTACTTCCGGCAAGATTCTGAAGTGCGCATACGATGGACACTTTACTATCCCATGAGGCCACGGGAGAGAATTTGTGAATGTCAGCGTAACTGACGCTGGTGGGTCACATGATAATGACAGCATAGTGAAAGTAGTATATTCATGCTATACACATTCATACTATATAGAAACAAACTCGTGAAGTAATTACTTATTCCTACTCAAGGGAGTATGTGATTTCAGATGCCAAACTCTCTTCATCCGCATGTGTACAATGACTATACAGAAGCAAAATATAACAATTATAATATGGGCCTTAATGTATGAAATATAAGGTTGCCTATATAATTGTAAGAAGGGGGTCTTTTGCAAAGGCATCGTAATATTTGCGGGCCTCTTGCAACAAAAATCAATAAAATGCACTGTTTATAACCCTATAGGTTCATTGTTCCAACTTTCTTACAACTGCATGCTTCATAAACGTTCTAGAAAACACAAATACTGACCTCTTCATTTTTACAAAAATGCTGGACTCATTTCAGCTGTGTTTAGTAAAGTGCATAAATACTCTAGGAAGCAATTTACCATCCTACAGATCTAAAAACAGCATGTACGGTCACCGCAGAAAAGGGTTTTGGCTGTCACAAATGCCCGGTCACGCAGTACAACCATAAGCACTGTTGGCCACATGGAGCCAATAAAAAGCTTCCAGTCTCACAAACACACATTCAGCTCCACTACCCCCACAGAACGAACCCTGCCCCCATCATTATCTGTTAGTTTTCAGTGCGACAAAACAAGCACTCACAAGCAGTCACAACATGCTAGCAAACAGTAGCCGGCTACGACGATGGACACTCATGGGGGTTGAGACGGGGAATGACCCAGTTATGTCCTCGGCTTCAAAAAAACAAGGCAGTAGGGCATGATCAGACTAATGCATATTTTCCTGAAACAAACCAAAAAAAGCAGCTATAGTCCTGCTGGAAGACACTGCCAAAAGTGGTAGACATCTTCGCCCAAATTCAACAAGTCATTACAAGGAGGTCGCAGAAGTAGATCAATGGTGCACAGGAATGAATAATCATTTGCGTTTCAAATGGCCACACCAACGAACAAAAGCTAGTCACCTCTGAGGCATCAGCACAGCCATGGATTTACAGTCTTTACCCCCCTTTAAAGCCCCCTTTTCCCAAAGCATCACATCCCCCATCCCCTACCCTCCGGGAGACAAGCGTTCACCCCAACCCTTGGTCCCCATCTCCTCCACGTGGTACATTCACTTGTCGACCCCTGGCCCAACCACCATGCACACTTCATATTCTGATTCTAATCAATGTCATGCAGGTCAGTCCATTCTGGGGACAACCCTCTTTTTCCATTCCCGGTTTTCTCCTCGATCTTCATAACCATATGTCATTTACCCCCTTGGTTCCCAGCTTCTGTCTCCAAGGAGAATGTTGTTTTATAAGGACGGTAGGATCACACCAAGCCACTTAGATCTGAGTAAAGGCCCCTTCACACCAATAACTATATTAGCGTCCACGCCAGTGGATAATATCGTTTTGTATATTCTAAGCACGCACTGCAGTTTTGTCGTCTGCTGCTTTAACGGTTGGTTCTTTTTGTTATACTGGTTGAAACTCTCTTCACAATAATAGAAGTGGTCTAAATATTAAAACATGTACATATATCTTCTGTGGAGGTCTCAGGATCAAAAAAAATGTTCATCCAAATTAATCATTGCATTCGATACGGTGTCCTACCTGCCTGTCAACATATGTATTTCCATACCTCCATACACCTGCTCGAGCAGACATTACAAGTCATCAGCGCGTTCCATGAGTCTATGCAGAGAAGACAAACATTCACAGAGTGCCGCAAACAAACAACAGCCGCCTTTTACAGTTCCTCTTGAACCAAAACAACAAGTTAATTCTGTGTTCACGCCATGTCGTAACCGTAATTACAAAAACGGCAACCCGCGACGTTCTACCCAGAGCCGTTCATGTCCTCTGTCCGGATTTATACGTTTCTATGTCAACACCATTAACGCTGAAATGAATCTGCAGCAGTCAGGTGGTACAAGTAAAAGCTCTGTAAGTTGTTTACGTTCATGATTATTGGAATGTTATGTGCTTTGAGACATGAGTCTCGTACCGCTTTGCACACTCTGCTGTACGCATCTTGTGTTTTGAAGGAGGCCTGGCTTTGGAGACGCTCTGAAGAGAGGGTGGAATCTAACGATTTCAAATCTAGCTTGCTATTGCTAGCCTCTCCGAAATTGCCTACCCTACCTTTAAATGCTTGAGCTCTTTAAATTGGCTGTCAATATTTTGATTGATATATTCATTTTGAACATGTAAATACAAATTTAAAAAAAAAAAAGAGAGAAATTTTTTTTTTTTTTTTTTAAAGATGAACAACAAAATAAAACTCCATACTTTCCAGTACTTAAAAAAACCCGCTACATGTACAAAAAGGAGTAGGAAGAAGTAAAACGTATGTACTCCTACCCCTTTAGTATTTTAATAATTCATCAGCTTGAAAATAAATCATTTTGAAAGCGATTCCAATGATATCATTCATCTGTGTCCTTATCGTTATAGTTATGTTATATATTCTCATACAATTATATTAAAACTTTGAGCAAAGTTCATTATCTGTGTTTCAAGTTGATTGTTAATGCATTTGTCTTTCGCTCCTCTTTGTGTTATTCCTCCAGTGAGAGCCAACGCCCATCTCGGCAGGTGAGATTTTATCAGCTTTTAGATCAGTACAGTACGTAGTACATCAGAAAGGTTACAATGCAAATACAGACTGCTTCAAGGGTTGTTAGTGAAACGTTATCTCTCTCAACAAGCCTTGTGCATTTGTGATGATTGAGATCCAAGCCCTTTGTGTCATTCACCTTGTTTTTGAGTCTCATTTACTAACCATACACACATATTTGTGC